GGGAATGGCCAAGTGACCACTGGGAATGGTCAAGTGACCACTGGGAATGGCCAAGTGACCAATGGGAATGGCCAAGTGACCAATGGGAATGGCCAAGTGACCACTGGGAATGGCCAAGTGACCAATGGGATGAAGGTCCAGGGCTTCTCCACGATGAGGATGGTCAAGACTGACCATTGGGATGAAGGTCAAAGGCTTCTCCATGGTGAGGATGATGATGGTCAAGGCCAACTGACCACTGGGATGAAGGGCAGGAACTTTCTCACGATCAAGAGGAGGAGGGTCCAGGCCGACTGACCACTGGGATGAAGGGCAGGAACTTTCTCACGATCAAGAGGAGGAGGGTCCAGGCCGACTGACCACTGGGATGAAGGTCCAGGGCTCTCTGAAGCTCTTCCATGGTGAGGACGATGATGGTCAAGGCCAACTGACCACTGGGATGAAGGTCCAGGGCTCTTCCATGATGATGATGGTCAAGACTGACCATTGGGATGAAGGTCAAAGGCTTCTCCATGGTGATGATGATGGTCAAGGCCAACTGACCATTGGGATGAAGGTCAAAGGCTTCTCCATGGTGAGGATGGTGATGGTCAAGGCCAACTGACCACTGGGATGAAGGTCCAGGGCTCTTCCATGATGATGATGGTCAAGACTGACCATTGGGATGAAGGGCAGGGGCTCTTCCAGGAGGAGGAGGAGGAGGGTCAAGGCCAACTGACCATTGGGATGAAGGTCTAGGGCTCTTCCATGATGAGGATGATGAAGGTCCGGGGCTCTCTGAAGGTCATTCATGATGAGGATGAGGAGGGTCGAGGCCAACTGACCACTGGGATGAAGGTCCAGGGCTTCTCCATGATGGTGATGGTCAGGACTGACCACTGGGATGAAGATCAGGGTCTCTTCCATGATGAGGATGGTAGTCAAAGCCAACTGACCACTGGGATGGAGAGCAGGAACTTTTCCATGATGAGGATGATGATGGTCCAGGCCAACTGACCACTGGGATGAAGGTCCAGGGCTTCTCCATGATGAGGATGGCCAAGACTGACCACTGGAGTGGGGGTCAACTGACCACTGGGATGGAGCTCAAAGGCTTCTCCATGGTGAGGACGATGATGGTCAAAGCCAAGTGACCATTGGGGTGAGGGCCAAAGGCTTCTCCATGATGAGGATGGTGATGGTCAAGACTGACCACTGGGGTGAAGGTCAAGGGCTCTTCCAGGAGGAGGAGGAGGGTCAAGAACTCATCCATGATGGTGGTCCAGGCCAACTGACCACTGGGATCAACTGACCACTGGGATGAAGGTCCAGGACTCTGACGATGACCACGGGTGGGAGCTCTGATCACAACGATGACCACGAACTGTTCAGAGATGACCACAATGAAGGTCCAGGACTGACCATGATGACCAATGTTGGGACTCTTCAGGGATGACCACGATGATGGTCAAGAACTGACCACGACTAAGATTTGGGACTTTTCAAGGATGACCATGATGACCAATGGTGGGGTTCTTCGGTGATGACCACGATGAAGGTCCAGGAGTCTTCAAAGATGACCAATGCTGAAGGTCAAGGAGTGACCATGACCACGATGACCAATGCTGGGGTTCTTCAAGGATGACCATGATGAAGGTCCAGGACTCACCATCACCAAGATTTGGGCCTTTTTAAGGACTGACCACGATGACCAATATTGGGACTCTTCAGGGATGACCATGACGGAGGTCCAGGACAGACCATGACCAATATTGGGGTACTTTGAGGATGACCATGATGGTGGTCAAGGACTGACCATCACCAATATTTGAGACTCTTCAGGACTGACCACGATGACCAATTTTGGGATTCTTCAGGGATGACCATGACGAAAATTTTGGGATTTTGAGGATAAAGCTGAGGGTTGGGAACTCCGCTGCCACCACGGACGATGACGAAGGACAACACTGATGGACAAATGGACACCGCTGACCACTCTCAAGCCTCCTCTTCAGCCTCCTCCCCGAAATCCTCCTCCTCCTCAGCCGTGGCGTCCTGGTACTGCTGGTACTCGGACACCGGGTCGTTCATGGAGTGACCATCACCATGGGAGGGAGCTCTGACCATGATGACCAATGGTGGGGACTCTTCAATGATGACCATGACGAAGGTCCAGGACTCTTCAAAGATGACCATGATGATGGTCAAGGACTGACCATGACCAATATTTGGGACTTTTCAAAGACTGACCACGATGATGGTCAAGGACTGACCATGACCATGATGACCAAGATTTGGGATTCTTCAAGGATGACCACGATGATGGTCAAGGACTGACCATGACCAATATTTGAGACTTTTTAAGGACTGACCATGATGAAGGTCAAGGGCTTCATGATGACCAATGTTGGGGTTCTTCAAGGATGACCATGATGATGGTCAAGGACTGACCATGACCACGATGACCAATATTGGGATTCTTCAGTGATGACCATGATGAAAGTCCAGGACTGACCATCACCAAGATTTGGGCCTTTTTAAGGACTGACCACGATGACCAATTTTGGGGTTCTTCAGGGATGACCATGATGACCAATGCTGGGATTCTTCTATGATGACCATGATGATGGTCAAGGACTGACCATCACCAAGATTTGAGACTTTTCATGGAGTGACCATGATGACCAATGTTGGGGTTCTTCAGTGATGACCACAACAGAAGTCCAGGACTGACCATCACCAAGATTTGGGACTTTTCAAGGACTGACCACGATGACCAATGCTGGGATTCTTCAAGGATGACCATGATGACCAATGCTGGGATTCTTCTATGATGACCATGATGATGGTCAAGGACTGACCATAACCAATATTTGAGACTCTTCAGGACTGACCACGATGACCAATTTTGGGGTTCTTCAGCGATGACCATGACGAAAATTTGGCGACTTTGAGGATAAAGCTGAGGGTCGGGGACTCCGCTGCCACCACGGATGACGATGAAGGACAACACTGATGGACAAATGGACAAATGGACACCGCTGACCACCCTCAGGCCTCCTCTTCAGCCTCCTCCCCGAAATCCTCCTCCTCCTCAGCCGTAGCATCCTGGTACTGCTGGTACTCGGACACCAGGTCGTTCATGTTGCTCTCGGCCTCGGTGAACTCCATCTCATCCATGCCCTCTCCCGTGTACCAATGGAGGAACGCCTTTCTGCGGAACATGGCGGTGAACTGCTCCGAGATGCGYTTGAACAGCTCCTGGATGGCCGTGCTGTTCCCGATGAAGGTGACGGCCATCTTGAGCCCGCGCGGGGGGATGTCGCACACGGCCGTTTTCACGTTGTTGGGGATCCACTCCACGAA